TCTAACTGCCTCGTTACGGATTCGCCGACACCAACGCACACGAGTTATGGTTCTGAGACAACGATTGTCGAACACCTGAAGACGTCTCAGGTCCGCTGCTCGAATAGGCCAAGTCTCACAGCCATACAACAAAACAGCCCGTACTGTAGCTTGATACACACGCCCCTTCAGATTCAGGGATATCAGTCAGGCTGGAATCTAGTTTGGTAAGTTGTGTCGCTTGTGACGTCTAAAAGGCATATCATTGGGTCTAAAGGGTCAAGTTCACCTGGCTATAGCAGGCTGTTATTGTATGGGTGCAAGACATGGCCTCTGTGGACGAATGTACTGAGGCATCTTCAGGATTTTGAACACCGATGTCTCAGAAGCGTGGCTGGTTTTAGATGTCGTCAGCATGTTAGTGACGAGGTGATTAGGAAACGGGCATCTGGTTGTGCGGCGGGTTCTTCAGTCTGGAGGAACATCCAGCCCCACCGACTACGACGGCTTGGTCATGTGCTACGCATGCGCCTCCTTCAAAATGACGCAAACTGCAAAGTGGACAACGCATGACTTGGAAGAAGGGCTTGAAAGAGATCACGAGGAGTTTGGATGTTGGTGCATTACGCCTTCCATGATGGGTTCCCCGTGGCCCCGCCTGTGCTTGGCTGGAAACGTTGCAAGGAATGGCAGCTAGTCAATGTCTCAGTGGCGTTCGTGCTGTCAGTTTCTCAGATTGACTGATTGAGCAGTTGGAGGTGTAGGCACCTCAGAATACTTGACATTGGTCACCACTAGGTCCCCTCCCTCGTCTTTTTCTTATTTTTTTTTTAACTGTAGGGCTATAAATATAATTAGGCGAACTTTATGGTTGTACGGCAGTGAAACATCAGTGTCAACAATGATGTTGCTGTCTTTGATAGTGATGACGAACCAGGGGCAGTCACTTCACAACTTGGTGAAGAAGCATGAAAGCCCTTGCCAGTCGATTCGGTCGCGTTGGTAACTGCCGTCTCCTCGGATGTTGACCACGGGATTCGCAAACCAATGGACAGTGACCCTGATATCAATGGTGCTCCTGCATCAAAGCTATCGCCTTCACTTTGTAGCTCTCACCGCCCACCATACTGGGCAAACAACTATTCGATGTCAACAAACTGATTGGACCATTGCCTCCGAGACGTTGCTCGTATTCTCTTATTGTCTTCGTTGAACAACTCGTCATGCAACTGAAACCACTGGACTTTGGTGCACAGTTTGTTAGCTGAAAAAGTGGACACCTGAAGTTTGACATTCTGGTTGTACCTAAAGTGTGTAAGGTCAACTCATGGACATGCAGTCACTGAACACGCCTCTTACGATCCAGGGATAGACACTCGAATTTGTGGAGCGTTTTATGTATCTTGGATATTTTATTAGTTCTGATTGTAGTGTGACAGATGAGGTCAACGCACGAACCTGCAAAGCTCGGATTGCGTTTGCTGATTTGAAACTCATGTGAAGGAAAAGCGATATATCACTGAGTTTTACAGAGCCGCGTGTATCAGTTTTGATTATGGGCTGTTTTGTTTTATGGCTGAGACTTGGCCTGTTATAGTAGCGGAAGTGAGACGTCTTCAGGTTTTAAACAAATATTGTCTCAGAACCATAACTTGTGCTTGTTGGTGTCGGCGTATCCGTGACTGGGCAGATAGAAAGCGAGTATTCGGTTTTAAAACCATGTATTGCGCAGGCCAAACCATCGTTTACCGTAAAACGTGCTCAATTCTGAGTGGCAGAAGTCGAGAGGTGGTGTTGTGAATGACATTGCGTACAGTCTGAGTGTTGTCAGTGCGACTCGCCTCCCAGAATGGGGACCACTGCATGTGGTTGGAGACGCTGCAAAATGTGCCTGCTGGTCGATGTCAGTGGTGCTCTTGTTTTCGGCTTTTATTCAGAACGAATGAGTATATGGCGATTTAGGCACCTCGGAATAATTGTGGTAGGCTAGCGCTTAGTCACTTCATCATCCACTTTTATTATGCTTGTGTGGCAACGAAGTATCAGTGTTGTACACTTATATCGTGTTGCCGCTGATGATGATGATGACAACGTGGATGGTAAAAATAACGCATAATGGTTCAGTGTACCATGTGTGAAGTCAATCGAAATTCCAATGAGAGAAAGTTGCATGTCCACCAGAGTTCATATGTTTTAGAGTGTGGGATGCTATCTCCATCCGCATCGTCAGTGGGCGGGAGCGTGGACTGTAGTCTGCAGTTTGAGGTTGAGGAGGATGTATGGCTAGCATTTTTCAGGTATGCAGGTTTTCGCCAGTTTGCCTCTCACGACAGCTTACAGACATTTTTGAAGATCTTATCGCTTGATGGGGATCGGCATAGTGTGCTTGAGCGGGCGTCGGGCTGCATCACAACGCAGGAACGATGATAAGTCTGGTGCTACCGAAGAGGCGGTAGCTTGAAGCCATGTGGACACTGGGCGTAGGGAGCACGGATGGCTGAATGACCTAGCAGTTTAGGGTGCGTAACCAAGCATTCTCTGTGGAGTAGTAGTGAACTTGAAGCAGCATCATATACGAGTAGTGCCGGCTTACACTATATATCTGATTTCACATCGCTGTGTATGCCCAGGGGGACCACTGACTACGCTTACGTCCAACTGGTGGTGTTAATACACCTACAATTCGGTTCTCACTTGGTGAAGGACTCGTTCAGTCAACCTGTTTTACGTTATTCGGATGTGGCTTCGACCCAAGATCTCTGTCAGCTCGCTGATTCGAACTGAGCGCCACGGTCCCTTGTAACTTTGGATGGAGAATCGAAACCTGCAATCTAATCCTCGACAAACATTCATACGAGGAACTCACTATAGGTGTCAGAAATAAGGACAACTTCTGGCAGTGAGCATGTCGATCCACGTACATCAGAATTTGGTGAAACCTCGTGTGAATGGTAAAGAGCCCATGTTGGGCATCGATCATTACTTGGAAATCCGACACGTTGAATTGTCCCACTGAAACAGTGCGTCCACAGGGATTTTATCCTCTCCAACGAGATTCTGGATGTCAGCCGAGTGTATTCAAGCTTATGTTGCTGGATGAATGTTTATCTGGCGTTTCGAACAACATAATTGAGGGGTCTGTGGTCCGTAAACTCTGCAAAACCACGGCCCTCTAGTCCGTGAGGGAAGGGGCGGGCAACAGAGTAGGTAGCCCATAACTAACGGTTGTTTATGCTGCACCTGATCGTGTCGGTCAACCGTCTCGAAGAGGATCCAAGGGATTTCCAACTAGCGCCCTGTTCCTTTTGTAAAACTGCCGTGGCCGAAGCACCCGCCGCAAGGCTGATGGATGATTGTGAATTTTGGTAATACGGTGGATTATAACGCTTGTCTGACTACACTGAAGGCAGTGATGGCATCCTCCTTAACAGTAGCGTCTTTACCTTTCCACGAATTTTGTCCTTGAGTGGTCAGAGTAATCTCGCTTGGTAGTACTCAGGCTTTTGAAACGATGTTGAGAAACTTGTATGGGCCCCAGGTAGTCGACATACCCCGCGCCCTCTAACTGATTGGCTAAATTCCGGTTGCGTCAGTTGTATGGCCCAGAAAACTAAGTAAGGCTTTGCCAAGCTCGGACCTGGCCCCATTTACCGTAAGGTCGTAATGCCATGGTGTTGAAGACGTCTAAGTAGTTGACGCAAATGCTACCCGCTCTCTTGGACTGCAGGGCTTGCAACGAGGATATCATCGATGTACGGATGGACGCTTTTCAGGCCGTAAGTTTCAGAGATGCAACAAGTATCCCATCTAATTGACTACCGTTTTCTTTATTCCAGCTTAACGATTGGGAAATGGTCCCCTTCCAATGGTATTAGTATCCCAAAGTCAATACTTTTGGTTTAGTTACGATAAAATTCCTCCAAAAGCTCATGATGCTTACACAAGGATACCTCCTCATCGCTGAATAGTATGCTTGAATTACCTTACATAATGAGAATTTCCTGGCAGTAATCTTCTGCGTCTTCACCATCCTGCTGGAATATTTGTAATGCCAGATACTCAGGATCCTCTCTGTAAGTGGTGTTTCCGTCTGGTTCATTTCCAATAGTATGGTCTGGTGTAGTGTCCGTTCGGAGTGGTTACTATACTGGTGGTATATTTGACCTCCGGCTACAAATACCTTCAGATTTTCCGTCACCTGAATTGCCGGTAAGTTTGCAGCCCATTGCGGATGGGCTCATCGTGCGATTTTTTACTTTATGTGGGCGACTTTGTGTTGCGATGCGTCTGTAGATCCATAAACCTCAGTTGCAATTCATTTCCTTCATGATTTGATTGACGCACCGTCCAATTTTGCCTTTGTATGCGAGTATTTGAAACTGGTAGGCAACTGCGCTTAGATGAGCTGTCTTATCGCCTCAGCTGGCAGTTTCGCCGACAAAATGAGGCTAGGATTGGTAACTTACTTACTTTCGAATTCGAGAGTGGTATAATAGTAAACTGTCAAGGTAGGTAGGGTGAAGAATCCTGTAGCATAACCGGTGCTATTTTGTCGATGTTAGGCGAAGTCTCAGCGCCGAAGATATCGGACGACTGCGTGCCTCCAATCACTGATTTCTACACAAAAGCCCTTTTTGTACGATTGGCTATTTCCAGTCCTTGAAGTTTATTTGCTATTTGGAAATGACTCAGCCACACGAGACTTTCCACGCATATGGGTGCTCATTGTTCTTCGGTGAGAACTCGCAAATTGATCATCCTAGTACCATCTGCCTGCCTACCAATGTCTTTCGCAGTTGGTCGGCTGTTTTTCCTGTTAAAACCAAGCATAGCTTGCCCAATCAATCTGAACACGATTATTGGGGGTCTTCCATGGGAATCAATGATTGGCTAAAACAAGGAATCTGACCACTCGCGACTAGTCATTGATACAAATTGCACTTCGGATTTCGGACGATATCTCGCAAAGGTGGGTTAGTCTCTCTTGAAAAGATGATAAGTGGCGTCTGACCATTTCGTCTTTGTTATAAATGGCAGTCCTCCGACGTCAGCGGAGAGACCCGAGCCCGCAACATTCAGTAGTTTTCGAGAATGAATCGTGGATCTGTTGTCTTCCGGGGGCCATATTCGAGGAAATGGTGTAATACGCATCCTGAGTATTTAAAACAAGCATGAACGGAATAACATAGCTGTACTGCCAGCTTTCCGTGGCGGACTACATGCTAAATTGAGGTATAAATCGTTCAGCTGTAGCACCCTTTCGGTGCCTAGCTGCCGTGCCACGCGAAGGACACACGAGGGCTGGGATACTGCTAGGTTGCCTAAGCCTAGACAGGCGAAGTCGAGAGCCAGAGGTCGGGTTGGAACCACGGACCTTTCGGTCAGTAAATTCGCGCTCTGACCACTTGGGTTAACTCGCCACCACTTGGGCTAACCCACCCATAGCTACGGTTGTTTCTGAGGAACTGTGGCTGAAAATTTATCAAAACAGTGTTCACAATTGTTGTGTATAGGAATATAACTCAAGGCAACTTTCGAATTTGAGGAACAGATGCTTCAAAGCTGTATACATTGTATAGGACTTTGTACATGACAGTATGTAGACTATGGTGAGAAATATAGTTTTCATTTACCGACACTTCGCCGCTCGATCGAATAGACTTGCTACTTTGACTTTTCTGAAGAGGGAATTATATCAAAGTCACCAATTTTTCAGTTTTTTTTTTCGCGTATGACCACTACGTGTCACCGTGTTAATTTGTTTCTCCACCTTTGTATCGTCAAGCGCGTCTACTTACCGAAGGGTTTTTTTCATCCGTACGTGCAAGCGCAGACGGGCGAACTGTCAATAACCTCTGCTTTTTCGCGCTGGCAGCCGGACCGTCACCATCTATGGCATGTATTGCATCATGTGCGGTCCCTGTTAACCAGCCCCACCAGTTGTATCCGGGAGCACTCGGCTGAACAAATTCACATGTTAACTCGATCCTCCATCTACCCAATAGATCCAGCGGACAGCTCGTGTATGACCTACCCCAATCCAGAGGCAGCCGATCTGATAGTGAATCACAAAACCTTATTCGAAGCGAGAGCTCGGAATTGTGTGATGACCTTGTCACTTTGGTCACCATCATACAAAAATGGTGTCGATCCTCTTCTGGATGTTTACCCAATCAGGTTAGTCGCGTCATTACAGATCGTAGCTGTCTCACAATATATCGTATGAAAACCTAGCCCAAGCATGAATCCCATGATTCTGACTTGCGTTATCCTGTGAATTTATTCCTTATGTCACCCAGTATTCTATACCCATCTTTGTGACACTTACAGTTTGGGGAAGTGTAGAGGTCTACAATTTCAGCAGTAGTAATGCGTTTGCTGATGCACTACCAGCTTCCACAGAGCTGCCACCACTCCACTTCATAATTAGAAGACAGACATTTCCCCTGTGTATGTATCATGGTAATGGAGACCCAACGAAGGTAGTGGCTAGTCTTACGCAAGACACCCGAATCGAGTGTGGGCATGCACGAAGTTTGAGTAGGGGCACCAAGCCGGTTTTTACTTGGCATCTTGGCCTTATTTTTGCCCGACACTTAGGTGTCTCACGGCACGTCATCACCTACGATTATCTTTTCCATTTCAGCATCGATGGGTGGCAGGACAATACATTCATCAAACGAGCACGGGAACGTATGAAGGTGGGTTTATTAGTGTTCTTGCTTCGATAGTCTGATTCAAACCTGGGGTTATGCTGATGCGTTGAATAGGATTACTGTTTACGGGCATCGCTGGAAAAAACAGTTACAAGAATCTTAGCTCTAGAGCAGCTTACTATCTATCCTACTGTGTCTCCATCATTCTTTGTTGGTGGTACATGTAACAAAATTGAAGACTATTGAACTGAAGCTGGCTACTAAACACCATGAATACATAGTTTGGAATCCTGAATATGAAAACACCTTAGAAAAAAACCTCACACAACACTGACGCTATTTCTCTCACGAGATGTGTTTGTGAACTGTAGTTGCTTTGCGAGATATGCCCGACGGTCTCTGAAATCCCCTGAAGAACTCCTTGGGACGCCGCACAGATCTTCTTTCTTTATTGATGGGCGGACCAAATTGCTTTTCAATATACTCTTAACTTTTAATAAGGTGACATTTATTCAAGTTTTTATAGACCTTTTAAGTGCGGATAGGATGTCACGATGGAAAGTCGAGCCAAGATATATTACAGAAAAACTGAATCGGATTGCTCACTCGGATGTGGAGGAAATGTGATAATTCAGGCGACTTCTACTGTCTCACGAAGGAGTGTACAGGAATCGCTAGCATCGTATGCTATCCGAAGGAATTTACCTCTAGGGCTCCTGGCAAAAAGTATCCCGGTTATTTCTAGTTAAATTGACCCGACTGAGCATTGCTGCTGAAGGCAGCAACTCATCGTAATAAAGTGAGCTTTCTCTGGATGCCTGTCAAAAGCTCAAATCGGTTGTGCGCACACTTTTGTTAAAGTCCTCAACAAGAGCTTGGCCCGAGCACAGCCACTTGGACAAAGTTGAGCCTTGGGAATTTCAAGGAACTAAACCATCAACACACCTTTTAGTGATTTCGACACTCCCCTGTATGTCTTATCAAATCACTCATCCAGATCGTATCCAGAAAAATTCTGGAAAACACCCTCAACTCGATTATTCTTAATCTGAATGGCCATACTTGTCAACAAAGAAGGTGAACCGATTGATGGTGAACTGACTATCTTCGCAGACCCCACGCATCACCCAATGTGGAAATTCCTAAATTAGTTAGGGGCACTATGCAAACCTAGGCAAAAGTGAGGAGGTAACCAATATGGCGGCTCTTTGGGATAGTTCAGTTGACTGGTCCGACAAAACTACTTTGCCAGTAGCCGTTACGGCAAGCACGAATAGCCACGAATCGCTATACTAAATCTAATGGGATTATCTTGAAATTTCAGAATAGTCCGGATATGGAAACTATGGTGCGTTGTCAACAGCTAACTAGCATCCTTGTTGCCCTCGGTAGCAATAGTTGCCTGCCATCCGAGTTTCAGAACAAGCTGCTCTCGCGGTAACCTAAACTCACTGGTAATGTTTTTGCGGCTCTTCAGTTTTCTCCTCACAGTTTTTATTCTGTCCCGTCCTAAATTCTGAGCTAGTTTGAGGCTGATATCTGTTTGCGATAACTCTATGAGCCTTTGTTAAGTAGGCCATTCATTGATCCCAGTATGTTTGGCTGCAGAAAGAGAGTTCATTGCTTTCTTCTTAGGAACCGAGATAAGGAAGTTTGGTTCAGTGGCGGTTTTTCCAACCCGTGGTGAGTTCGAAAAATACTCGTCCCGATACCTGACTGATCGTTGTGTTCAGAATTCCTGCGCTCAAATGTCTTCACAGCGTTGTAGTTATCTAGAAAATTCCACCACCTTCTATGTTTCTGTACCAGCTGGTTATCCAGTAGCACGTGCCTCGAATCACTGAAGTCAGAGGTGTTTGGGTGTTTCGGGACAGTTGTTGAGCTCCTGGTTCATGTCAAATTGTCTTCCTTTCAGACAAACACATCCAATCGTTCGAGCCTTTCGTCTATCGGCCATCTCAGTAGGCAAGCAGGCGTCACCGTATTGGACAGTGGATACGATTGCCTCTGCAGTTTTACACCTGGACGAGATGGCCCAAGTGGTTAAGAGCGCGAATTTACTGACCTCGAGGTCTATGGTTCAAACCCGACCTCTGCCTCTCGACTTCCCCTGTCTAGGCTTGGGTAACCCGGCAGTATCCCAGCCCTCGTGCTTCCTTCGGGTAGCACAGCCGCTAGGCACCGGAAGGGTTACAGCCGAGATATTTTTTTTACACCTGGAGAGGATGAAAGCAAGACGAGGTTGCTCTTTCAGGGGCCCTGTTCCTGGGTGAGTAGGCCGCAACAAAGTGTTGACGCTGCTCACGGAGCCTTGACAGGCCGTCCACCAATACTCAGTTGGAATTTGCAGGATATTACGATGGGACTGCTTTGCGCAGCGCACAAAACCTGCGACGGGCCAAGATGAATTTTTGAGCGCATGATTCGTATGAAGCCAGGACGACTTAAGTTAGAAAAGTGTAACTGGTGCGTTGTAACATCGAGAACCGAATATCTGGTGCGTGAGACAGTCGGACAGGGAAGAGATCCAACTGGTGAACGCAGAGGTGACTTCATTAACTTCTGTCGTACCCCAATTATGCCTTATCAGTGGTTCGTAACGTCAGTCACGGATCATCTGATGACCCTCTAGTTAGGGCAGCCTCTATTATAACACTTCCATATCAGTACAGTTTAACACAAATCATATTCATAAAGATCCCAGACGGCACGAATTGTTGTACATGAGCGCTCGATCGGATTACACCCTCTGCAAAATTACTTATTGCCCTACTTATTCGTCGTAAACTTCCCGTAACCGCATTCGTTTGGATGTGTTCCCAACGAAATTGTCACTTTCTGTTGTCGCAGTTGGAAGCAACTCCCCCACCTCCTGATACAAGTCTTTCTCGAGGCTTCTCTTGGATCGACACGAGTACAATGACCATATTCTCCAATGAACCGAACAACTCTAAGCACGGTAATTTGTAGCCTACATCCGTTTTTTCCACGGACAAGTTTGTGAACCTCCCATTTTTATCAGTATTCCTGATTATTTTGATTTGCATATTTTTGCCTGTGATGAGATAAACCTACTCCGAGAGAACTTGGTGCTTCTTGCTTATTCGTAATTACCCATGGACTTATTCATTCATTATAGCTACTCGAAATCTACTGGACTCCTGCAGATGAAGCTTAAGTGTTCTGGAATGAAGGTGCGAACGCGTAGCCAAACGGCCCTAGTTTCAAAACCTCTGGGATTTTGTTTGAACATTCGACGTGAACTCTTGGTTACTATTTGTCCACCGAACGTCGCAATTGGCTTGCAAACTTTTCGTCAGTAGGTTACTGACGGCCACAAGGGGTAACAAATATGGCCTCTCGAAATACAGTTGCCTTTTTGAGCAATCATAATAAAAGAAGTGGCATACCGCTTAACTGGAAAAAATTTCCTCAGTAGAAGCGAGATTAGATGCTGTTTTGTGTGACGCCCGTAAACGAATGTCTGTGCAGTTTGCTGCGGTCTTTCAGTTGTTCTTAATGGCACGATCACAGCACCCCAACAACTGGATTCACTATGCAAAAAGCTTGGTAAGGCGTGAACCGTAATAAGTATTAATCCGTAATTATTAAATCCGTAGAATCCAACCCACACGATCGCACCAACACATGTTGAATGTGTTGCTCAAATGTCGTCCTTTCAAGGAATCAGATACCAAATTGCATGCAGGTGGATAGATTTCGACTAGAATCTACCTGAACTAAATCTACCCTGAAGTTTAATAAGGGACTTGTTAGGTCAGCCGGTTGTGCTGCCTTCACACGAAGACAGCTGAATTGAATTATCGGGAATTAATTTCCCAATGGGTTTCACATTGATACCTGTTTTATATGTGGACGAGTTTCAGCAAATGCTTTGCGGTCGCTGAGGTATTCATCCCTTGATTGTTGCCAAACTTACTGTTAATCTACTGATGCAATTCAGCGAGTCACCTTGTGTTCCGGAGAATCGAAAACAGGCTCTAACTCCAAGGGAATCTCAATTTATTCATTTGAAACTGGGTTTTCATTAGATTATAGATAGCACTGTTCGCCCCTCTTTTTATGCTTCATCACATGTTCACATGTCTTCGCCCATGATCGGTTCATTATCCGATTACCCCGGCGACACTTCGGATCGGTTGATTTTTGTTTGAAGTTGCCGATTTCCTCAAACTGAGGTCCCGAATAGACGTAGCTTTGCTAATTGGATAATGAAATCTCGAGTTCATCTTCAATCAAAAGTTTCGGTGATTGACTAGAAGACAGTTTCTCAGTACTGACTGGTACCATTAACTTGTAGAGAGGTCCCATGCGGCCTGGTAACTCCACAGCGGCCATATAGTAATATCCTTCTACAACCACTATTTCCGTTGAATCCGTTAATTTACTCGCACCATCCACACGGGAGAGCGATTATTCCTCCTATCACAACTGTAGATATCATGATCAGGTAGTCGAAGCTTGTAACTACTACCAGAACGATCAACTATAGGCTCCTGTTTATTGTACGCCTGTAGTCTGCAAAGGCGAAAACAACGTACTTGACCCAGTCCCTGACATCAGAGATCGGGATAAAACCATGGTTGCACACGACCACGCGTCGTTCTATGGAATACTAAGGGAAATCGAGAGTGTTTCTTCACAATGTGGGCAGAATAGGGCTGCACACCCCTGGAAAGACAAACATTTCTGAATTGGAATTGCACACGACCACGCGTCGTTCTGAGATACTAAGGGAAATCGAGATTGTGTTTCTTCACAGTGTGGGCAGAATAGGGCTGCACATCCCTGGAAAGACAAACATTTCTGAATTGGAACTTTTCACCATCAACCAGTTGCTGCAGGATCCAGCCATGTCCATGAGTTGTTTTCAGTTGATAACTACTTCATGAACGCGCATGCTGAGGGCTCGTATTGACCAGTAACAAATGACGACCAGTGCACAACTAAAGAAATTGCTTCTATTTTTGTGCGATGAATTTTGACAATCTGTTAACAACGTCGCCTCAGGGTCTGACGACCACTTCGGGCATTTAGGTTGTCTACTACGGTTCAGGCTTGTCACAACGCCACTGTTGATGGTGGGAAGGCTGTCGATAACCGAGAATACCAGCATAAGAATTTCTATTGCTTAGCCAGTTGTTTACATGCTTAAGTGGTAGAAGTCCGCCATCAGAAACGAAAGGCGGATACTTCACCATGAATCGCCGTAACAAATGCCCATTTCAGACTTCTTTAAAAGGAATCTGCTTGTTCCTTCGAATAGGATAAACTCCTAAGCAACTTTTCATAAAGGAAACTACTCAGAAGGTTGCTGAAAACTCTTTGATTTGTTGATCAGCTACCTCATGCAGCACCAGCAGATTACTCGTTGTTGGTTGCAAAATCTATCGCTTGACTCTCAGTACTGGTGGTTGTGTGTCCAAAAGGTGTAGCTCGTTCTTGGAAGCAGCAGTTCTGACTGATGACACAGTGGTCATTAACACTAACGTTGCAAATGGAACAAAACGAGGCATTGGTTACATTTGAAATATCAGATCTAAGCCGTCCTTTCACCCACTGTGCCCTTGGTGTTCTCATTCCACGGATGTTGTAGTAACTTGCATTTGAAGGTCTATATATACAAAAACACGTAGATACGGATATTTCCTCAACTCAGCGGTCGCAGTAGCCTGTTGCAAGCCACAATTTTGTCGTGTCCTCCTGGCCAGTTGCTCGTACCATATTCGTCAGTTCTGGTGTGTACAAGTTATGTTCCGATGGGGCGTTCTCCTAAAGTAGGTTTTATCCAAAGGTGTTTCAGTAATGAAAAAAACTATGCCAGGGGAATCGTCATCCCTTATAAAGATTGCCCTCTACAGTGGAGTGAAGTTGGTTGGACCCACTAAATACTTCTGCCCATTGACCGTGGCTTTTACAGCTACACGCACACATCACTTCGTCAATCAAGATATCCGGCGTAGTTAAAAAATTCAGACGGTGTTTCACTTCCACCAGAGCACACCAGATGATGTGGTCAGTAAACAGAAGGCCGATATTCGGCGTCACATTCACTACTGCCATGGCACCGCAGTAAAACCGGACGATGTGGAAAGAAACACGATCTTTCATATATTTCAGCAATAAGTAAAATAAAAATCGGGTATTTAAATCGAGGGTTAATGTTTGTACACCGGCTGCTAGCAAGCACCCAAAATGGGATCTAAGTGTGGCAAAGAAATGCGCGTATTTCGCCAACGAATGAGTGAAACTTCTGTTGAAACTCAATCTGTGCTATTCGAGTGGGCTTTTGGTTGCTAAATCCTGCCGTGTACCGGTTTGTTCGTTCATCTGTGCTGGCCGGCTGATTTGGAGAACCAAGGCGCTCGAAAGCGATACGCAAACGATCACGCAAACCGACATCTTGACAAGAGTTTAGCCATTGTTCTACAAGGTCTGCATAGGCGTCCTGAAAGAGGAGTAAACATGGACTGAGTGAAACAATGGTGTTTTAATCAATTCCGAAAAAAACGAAGCTGCATCTTAATAGCTTTTATTGCGAACTTATTGTGAATTTATTTGAAGGCAAACATAGATGAAATGATGGAAAACAGATCCAAGTGACTGCTCAGCAAAAACACATGTCTCGCGCTCACCAGTGTCTGATGAAAACAAATAGAAACTACACTTCTACAAGCCGAAAAGTGGCACGCCATGAGAAACGGCCTGGCATACCTCACTGAGTGCCCAGAGTTTGTTCGCACAGCTTCATACACGTAAGCGATGTACCAAGTGTCTGCACCTATGACGGAACTCAATGCCCGGACCGAGATTTCTAGCCATGTACGAACGAATGACGGGTAGGTTTAACCGTCCGAAATAAATCACTCTGTAAGTGATTCAGATAACTCCAAGCGATCGCCTATGCACAGAGCATTAAGTTCGTAAAGCAGTCAACCATAATGGAAGGTCCGGATGCTCAACCACGGCATCATAATGTGTTCGATTCCAACGAATGAAATTCACAGGATCGACGGGTAGCAGTGACAATCAATAAGAGAATAAAAATCGCTCACCTGTAACGCCCTTTCGATGCCTAGGTGCTATGCCACTCGAAGGAAGCACGAGGGTTAGGATACTGTCAGGCTGTCCAAGCCTAGACAGGAGAAGCCGAAATGCAGAGACTGGGTTCGAACCACGGATCTAGCGGTCAGTAAATAGGCCCTCTAACCACTGAGCCATATCGCCCTGTTTTGCACTGTTGTGAAGAATTTTTGGTTAGCAGAAAAGAGTTATTCCGTCATTTTAAAATCGACGATCAGAGAGGCCAATCCATGTGGCAATCAACCAAGTAGAGTCCAGCTGACTAGGACAGAACTCACCATTATTCCGTGATTGCTAATTTATGTTCAATGGTCTCTTGAAATCTGTTCACCAAAGGACGAGAATTTAACTCCAGGTTACTTCATGCGTTCAGCGCAATTTTAACAGTGAGAGCGACCGACTCCCAAAACTCGCCCCATAGAAATTTCTTTATTGCGCCTAACTGGCCCATTAACAGAATAATCGAAAACGGGTGAGAGGGAAGGGGTAGATACTCACTGCACTTTACCGCATAATGTATATTAGGAAACAAGTTGAATAGAGCTCAAACCGGCTCACTAATTCATTTTAATCTACGTCTATCTAGTCGGAATCACAGCTACCCAAGATCTCTCCGAGTTGGACAATTTGGGCGAATAAGTTTCATCACCAATTTAGGTGACATCATTAGCACATTGTAAGTAGAAGTGCGTTGAGGTTGGCACTTCCAGCCAACAATACAACCTGCGCCACCGAGATTCCCTTCAATTACAGACACATTATCTAAGTGAACCTGCTAACAATGAAACTGATTAACGATGGAGTGTCACCGGAGAGCTTACAAATGAGCATTGTGTCTTCCACATTTAAAAAGCCGCCGATCATTGTGCGAAGACGTACTTTGTTTGAAACCTTTGGTAGGTTATACTGCACAATCGCCTCTGAACCATACATTGGTTCAAAATGGCAATCCATCCAGAATCATAGGCAAGTAATCTAAATCTGAAAGTGAATGTCTGGTGCCGCAAAAGCGGTACACTTCGCCTAAAGACTATTAAGAAATCGTGCTATCGAACGAAATCAAAGCACTCAAAAACTGCGAGCCTACTCGTTCCACCAAAGAAAGACCGGGTGCTTCTGATCACCTAATCTACCAAACCGATTGTCGTTGCTGCGATTCATACAAAACAACGGATGATATTAGGCATCCATAATCGAACAGCAAGTCTCAACACAACTCCAGAAATCCTGATCTCAATGTCCAAAGTCTTTTATGACCACACGTTTCGCACATTACTGCTCTTAAAATTCTTTGTGTCGAGACGAAAGCATAATCTGTTCGAATCCTTCTTAAGTGTCCAAAAGCAACATGTGCCTCCTTTCGACGAGCGGACTCTTAAAGATAGACGGAATATTATCAGTATAGTATCTCCACACACCCAAAGTTGAGAGTACCTTCAGGAAAGCGTCCGACTATGCGTAGACCTCTGCCTCTCTAGGCAGATGCTTGGGCGACCTGGCTGTATCCCAGCCCTCGTGCTTCCTTCGGGTTGCATGGCAGCCAGGCACCGGAAGGGTGTTACAGCTAGACGAGGCGCAGACCGTACGGGTAGGAGAAAGTCAGAAATCCAGTATACTGTGAATCTGAGGTGAGTAGCTCGAAAGAATTAAACGTCTTAGTAAACGGAATGAGCAAACAACTAATTACCAGTAACAGATTATGAGGTAAGTGGTAGTGGTTTACATTAAAGGAAGAGGAGCCGGTTGTGTTGTAGATCCAATACTCCAGACGGTTAGTCGGATATTAATGAAAACTATTGATAAACAGGGCATGTGGTCCATAAGAATCCGTCATTGCGTTGTACCTTGGAGAGTACTTGGTGGAGGCGCGTTAGTACCAGTAAATAATGTGATATGTTAACAGGCTTGTATTCACAGCTGACAGTCGTGATGCATAAAGACAGAAACGGCCTACTTACCAGATTCATATGAATCAGACCGAGGACTGTTGAAGACAGCACCGTTTCGATATCCGTCGAATAGCTGTCCTGAGTAAGTAGAGCGAACACGTCTATTACCAGCTGAGTATTTAAACCGAGTACTTTACAAAAACGATCAGCGATCTCCTGTTCGGCTTTGGCCTGTTGGTTACAACGTGCGTCTTGGCAGAACTCAGTTAAGGAAATAATAATCTCCAGGCATTGGCGAATGACTGAACTGTCTACTCCACTGAATGGCCAACCAGGCGTCGAGGATGGGAATGCATCTGCCGCAACGCCAAGGATACCATGCCGGATTAGACGACCAAAATAGGCTAACTGTTCATCAGACATATGGTTAAGACCTATGATATGCAGATCACAAGCGAAGGAGGCCAGCGAGTAGAACGCATGGCACACTTCAGGGACCTGGGGAAGAAAAAAGAATAAACTACATTAAAAATGGCGAATCGGCGTTACATTGTGTGTTAAAAACTCCACTTGGTTTTACCAGCTGGATATAGAATTAGGCACTGTTGGCTTTATGAGCAAGTACACATCACGATTACGACTCATACTAACAAACAAGGTAACAACGGACGTCCAAAATGATAAGGAACGGAAATAAGCTGGAGACATTTATGAAGGTTGGGAGATATTCATTACTTTTTGAGAGGGTAGCATGACGGCAGTTACTAATCAGCACGCATGTGCTACGCTGCATCAAAGTTGAAAGCAACCCCAGGCAAACAGACGACATCATCAGCATAATTACGAGCAGTAATATCACTGCCGCACAACCACATAATTAATCCGATGTACCTAAAGCCCAGAAGTGAAGAAGGTGGACGGGGAAGCGAGCTGACGCAGGCCTACAAACAAACACTCGGAAATGCCTGAACCTCCAAACGCTCAATTAACCAATCTGGGGAGAAATTGATGGTACGAACGCCACTGACACCGATTAGCCGCCATTTCTTGCAACGTCTCCAGCCAAGCGCAGAGGGGAGGTCATGAGGACTTCATCCTAGGGATTGAACCGCACCAACAACCACGAATTGTTCGTATTTTCTCGCACTCTGCTGCCAAGTCACAAGTTATTTACCTCGCAGTTTGTACGATCCCGAAGGAGGCATGAAGACCAATACTCGTCCCGGAACGATTTTTCCTGCATACTCCAGATCGACAATGATTTCAAAAACAAATATTGCAGACTAGAGTTTCAAGACTCTTAGGATTTCGTCTCATTAGTTCATTGATGAGGACGGTGGACAGAGGTGTAGACAGTGGACAGGCTTGCCGAAGACCACTTTTAGTGGGGAAGCCTTTGGAGAACTTCCATACATTAAACATTATCCAGAAATATATGGACATAAAAAGCAGACCATGTGCATGAACTTCTGTGTCATTCACTGTTCAGGAAGCGTAGCTGGAACGGACCGATCGACAACTGAAATACCAAGATTAAACATCGCAAGGTAACATACGACGCGGTGTAAGTACTACCCTGCCCTTCAAAACGTCTTCCAAGCAATCAGCGGGCCATGATGTTACAGCGCTAAGCCCAAACATAAATAAATAGCTGCTACTAGAAAAATAGAAATTCCAGCTTATGTATAGTTTGGGCGTTAATGTCAGGTGCGCTCAGCACGGGGAATTCAAAAAGAACATGGAATAACTTATTGAAGGGATCAAAGAAAACCAGCAATGAAACATCTCATAGTGAAAACATACCATAAGTATAGACTCAGTGATCAAAGGCAGCAGATGTCCCATACCAACCAACGACACATAGACCGTGCCAACAGATTTCGAGCTCAACTCATCGGTATGCGATAGCGGTCCATCATCCACCAATGGTAACAACAACGCACCAGAAAGTCGGACTTCAAATTCGTGCGCAGAAATTCGGCTGAGCATTGTTAGTAGCAACCGTAACTCCGCGATTCGTTCGTCTTCGGCCGTTGCTTCGAAGCTAGACTTGTCTAAATAGGAGATCGAAAGGGTATTAACAAGTAGCGTTTGGTGAGTTGACAGGTGCTTACACAAAAACAAGTGGTTCAGTCAAAAGTCACAGTTGTCCTCGGCTCCAAATGGAGTTGAAAACAATAACCGCGAAGTTTTAACTACACTACTTTCAGGGATGCAAGAAGAGGAAAATGAGTATAGCAACAGAAATAGAGTGATTCAGTGGAGCGGATAGTGCATCCTACATGGTTTACTAATTTTCGGAGTACAGCGTTGCTGAAGACACACGGGTTTAACTGAACAACAAGGTTCGATGGAACATCAAAAAGCTACGAGTGTCCCCATTTGTGCGGCGAGACTAACACCCGCGCGAGTCGCGGCAGCATAGTCGCCAGATTTCGAGGTTGATTTGAAGCAAACGAAACTTTGGATCGTGTGGACCACAATGTTTTGTCACTAGGATTATTTCTCTGCTCTCTGCACAAGCTATTAGAAACAGAACGTCGGAGGCCACTCCGTGTATGCGCACTGGCCTTCCGAATTGCCGTCTTATTCTCGATCACCCATTCAGCCTTGCCGCTTTGAAAATTCGGAACGAAGTGCTTGGGTTTGTTAACCGATGGTATTGGCTCGGCCATATGCTACACAGTCCGAACTATCGTTTACCTAGGAGAATATTGTTCTCAGCTCCATTATCAGAATGGCAGAAAAAGCAAAGTGAACAATGTAATTTTGAAGAAGGATATGAACGACGACGAGAGAACTCAAGGATAGCTTGGGTGGTACTGGTGCGGTCCACCTTCTAGGATGGAGTATCGTGACCCCATCTGTGCTTGGATGGAGAAGTTGCAAGAAATGGCGGCTGCTCGTGTCGTCAGTTTTTTTCAGTGTTTAGATTAGGATATAGACAGCTCAGAATGCTTGTGGGAGGCTAGTGCTAGGTTTCTTCCCTAACCACCTTTTTCTAATCCTTCACTTTACGGCTTGAAATGGACTTTGTGGTTATACGGTAGTGAAACAACATTGACATTGCTGTCTCTGACGATGATGATCCACTGCAGCTGTATAAGCTGTGAAAGTGCTGCTTTCTGTTCAAAGCCATTGTTGGCAAAAGGTTCGCAGAGGAACAGGCCATGGCAGTGCGCAACGAAAGCGGCCGCAGTTAGGCTGAATGTCGTGGGATGCATAACGTAACCCATCCCAATGGAGCGAATATCGTTACTTCCTACTCGGATGGTTTACGTACAGTTCACCTGTAGCTGTGACCTAGGCTTATGCTGGGTGAGGTCCGCAAAGGACAGTGTCAGTTCGGTTTGAGATGATACTGTTATTCGCTGTAGTGCTTTCAAAGTCAAGAGCTTGTCAAACTAAGCAACGCATTTCCTTAAGCGACAGACCTCTGTTTCGCCACCTCAGGTTCGTCAAGAAGTCCGAGCCGCCCATCCCAGGAATGGTCCCACTGACCATTCCTCATGACCTGTCTTAGACCGAAATCTTTTCATGTTTAACTCGTGTTTTCGAAGCCAATAAGAACAGGTCAAGGCCTACCTCTTGAAACATCAATTGTGTTTATTGTTACAAGGGTCGTGGGATTATCTCTATACTTGATTTCACAGTGGCGTTGGATTGACACACCAATATAGTGTTGTGACGTGAGTAAAAGAAAGGATCGAATGATACAAATGTTTGCACTAGGTCCTGGCTGACACAGAAATCGAAATCGCTCATCTTACACGACGCAAATGTTGGGCTCATTCTGCCTCNACGACGCAAAGGTGGGCTCATTCTGCCTCTGGCAGTGTATAAACAAGATAATACCGCGGAGCATTCGGCACACACTTACTTGTATTCTGCTTCGCATAGTGACGACAAAGAGTGACTGTCAGATTTAAATAATTCGAAGATGCTGAAGTCTTCCGAGAACCATTTGCAGTGTTCCCACCAGAAGGATGGTCCCCGAGTGGAGTTGGTAAATGGTTTTCTGTTACGCTGGATGGCACATTGGCAAGATAGATCAGACAAGAGTCAGCAACATCTGAGAACAAAGATATCACGCTTTGAACGATTTCGGAACAGTTGTGGCAACGCTGAAAGGATCAGAAAATAAGTGTATAAGGAATTGAGAGAGACCGTCCAACAACATCACAGCAAAAGGAAATTGGTGGTGATAACACCGCATACCGCAGGACGCAAAATGTTTACCATGGCGGTCAATTCATTCAAATGCGTCCTCAGTAGGTTTAAAGGAGATATAATGATTCGCGTAATACACTCGTTTGCAAACTAGTTTGGTTTTAACAAGGAACTCGACCGAATCCCAACTGAATCTTTTGTTTACGCAATCCTGCAACTGAGCGTGCTGCACAAAGCCCGCCTGTTTAAGCAGGGACGATATTCGAGATACGGAACACACTACTCATAAGGTTGCTGAAAGCTCTTCGAAGACTCTTCGATTCACGACTAACGACAGTCAAGCAAGCTCTTCAAGACTTGTTGGAAATGAAATAAATTTTCAGGCTGTCTTACTAATCAGTCAATCGAGAGAAGTCGTTATCATAGTAATCTTCATCCACTAATGTTGAATCTTATCTCCAAGTACAAGTCTTTCCTCTATCATAATGTGTTTCACTTCAAACATAGTATTGTTCCAAAGTTAGGAAAAATACTTGTTTACTAAACTCTCCGTTTCTGTCATCTGACGAACCAACTACTTTGCTATCGAAAAAAGCAACTCTTCAAAATTTACAACCTGATGAGTACGGTACAAGCAGTTTCCGACCACAATGGCATTCCGACGGTCTTAATACTGAGTGATATAAAAAGAACCTGGAGATTTAGAAGGTGCACGTTAAAGTCAGGTACCCAGGAGAACAACTCGGTGACGGATAGCCAGACATGTGGGACGCACCAGAAGTACGTTCTCAGCCATACATAATTGCGAGACAATACTAAACAAAGCGTAAAGTTTGCCATCACCACATCACTTACGGGAATGAGAAGGTTAGAACAATTCTCCAGTGCCGGATACAGGACACCAGTCCACACCAAGGAAATTAAATCAGTGGCTGTCTCAGACTGAGCAGCCAGAGCACCGACCGCCCGAGCAAGTCCTCGCAAAGTAGCCAGACAACGAATTAGGCCGTCCGTGGTTAGACTGTCTACCGTGGACGAGGGGTGACAGAAAGGAGCCAGGACACTGATCAAACGTTCTCGCAAGCTATGGACCAGCTGAACAGCGGAGAAAACAAACGGGATTTGAGAAGAAATGAGACCAGATTATGAAAATACGAACTGAATGCTGAGGGAGGAGGAACCTAAATTATCTAGGTCGAGACAATGCATATAAATGGCTGATTCTGCGAACAGGTATCGATTCACCAGGACGAGAATAAATTTATACCACGGAATTCAGAGAAGCGATGAGTTTGCAGAGTGGAAATTCTACTCGGTGTAGAGAGTGAAGCGCAGTCAATGAATTAATTCGAAAGAGACATCTTTGGGATTGATTTCAACCAGTTGCTTCCCTCGCATCACAGTCTAAAATACTTCTGTATAATGCAATCTTATTCATTGATGAGCAACATAGAGGAAGTATGCAAACTGAAACACCCACAGCACATCTGCCACGATTGCAAAAGCATACAATGTGTTCGTATTTGGACCGTCTATGATCTGTGGGTTAACCCATGGTTGACATCAAAATTATCCACCTGGACATCATCTGATGCTCTTCTGGATAATTCCAGATATCACTTTAGTGTCTCAAGCGCCTGCCTTTTTCAGCTTGCCTTCATATGATTTCGTTCCGTATGATACTGAATAAGTCAGATTACGTCTATTACTGAAAAATTTCAAGTACTTGGTTCACATTCAACAATCTTTTGCTAAACGTGCTCCAATTTAACCTCTATACCCAGGAAACACTGTGCAGCCGGCCGACGAGGCTAGTTGCATGGCTGTCAAATATCGGTTTGTTTTCCGCAGTTAAGGGATGGCCATGCACGGTTGTCCGTTATCGAACATGCGGGCGGTGCCCTAACGCTAGACGCACCGCATCGCTTTCTAACATAGTTGTGAAAATTGAAGCGCATCGATGTCCAAGTTACGCAGCTCGACAGGAGAACAGTGTCCAGTCCCTGAACTATGAGCCAATTAGGCTTTTTGTTTTAACATCAGAATGCTATACACAGTGGCCGCAACTATTTCACAACCTAAAGCTTTCGCGGTACGATCGACTATCGCGATACCTCGTAGATCTGAGTCGCGCTAAGGCGACTCCTTGCACGAGGATAACTGGATCCAACGGTGGCCAGGCAGCGGTGGTTGGTTGGCTATATCATAAATACTGTTGAGGTCCAGGATTTCGCAAACTTAAGTCAAGACAGTAGGTTTTTCTTTGTTCGAACTGTGTCTGCTGTTTGCGGACAATCGGCGTAGTTCCACTAAAGCATTCCTAATTATAAGCTCAAGAGATTTTAGGTAAGCTGAAGCACTGAAAGTATATTTTGCAAGACGTTCGAAACAAAAAGTCGGCAAAACAGGGTGCTAAGCATTCGACCGATATGGTTGGCTTAGCCTACGAAAACAAGTAAATCAATCTTGAAGCAAAGGGTTTTCTTCACCTTTCAAACAGTGCAGTAGTTCTCACTCTGACTTGTTCTAATTGGAGACCACCGTTTCTACAGCGGGTGATCTATTTTCTGGCCGGAGGGGGAGTGAGCATTCTGAGATTTAGACAAAGCAATCGACTCAAGGTAACTCTGGGGATCAGTCGACTGACAGCTGCTATAGCCGAATGCACCAGCAAAAGAATAAACGGTTGGATAAACACTCTGTTAGGATGCGCTATCTACGCGGTCGATAAAATAATACAATCCATAGATATCCGTTGAGGCACGTGAAAATCTCAAACGACGTGTGGAAAACAACGAATAAGGGGTTTAAACACGTATCGGTCTTTTGTAAACCATGATGAAATTCCGTGACTCAACAGTCGCAGTCGTCAAGTAGTGGACCAATATGACCACGACCATACTTGAAGCATGCTAACCCCGAGCATCAATTCCTATTTGCTGATAGTGAAAAAGTGGTTTGTAAGCCCAAACTGGCCTGTATCAAGTGAACCGCTTGCGATCTCCGGAAAAAGTATGCAGTAAAACATGAATGATCCGAGACATGGTAGCTTACTGAAAACAATCTTCCATTAGCCACCCATCCGGGTTTAAGATTCTGTTTCTGTATATTCTGGATATCAGGCATTTGAGTTCTCAAGCATTTTTCTCTGGGGTTGTCGCCCATTTGTCAACTTGGATCTCACCTGAAGTAAAAGAGGTTCGGAACTTGAGCTGGTGCTCCAGTTAGCCAAGCTCGGGGACAAACGTTCTTTGTCGATCGCCCAACTACCACAAAGACATGCCTCAGTAAGTTCTATGAGACTATCCGGAGTCATGTTGGACCAAACCGCGTTTGCGCTGTCGGAACCGCAGAATAGCGCACATATTTCGTACCAAGCGGGGCAGACTAAATTGGAAGACCTGTTCCGCCAAAAATAAGAAGAAGAACCATGAATAAGAGCGCAGTGAACAGGGTTGAATAAATATTGCTTTCTAGAACAATCAATGCAGTCGAACGCTTATCAATCAGTGATTGTTGCCCGGATATGTGGACAGGCAATTGTCTGACAGCCAGAATCATACCATTAGTCTGATAAAGTTCCCGTACATTTAGTGAATGGATGATGGATCATTAACCAGCAACCTAATAGAAGCAACCCCTTTAGAGAAACCATCACGGATAAAGGGGATAGCTGGTATTACTTTTGAGACGCCGTTTCTTCAAAATGGAGGAGACTTAATACTTGGTGGTGAAAGGCGGAACCTTCGATTTTCGGCACCTACTGGATTGTTGTATCGTCCTTTACATCATCCATTTATATCTATCACTCATGGTCTAAAGTGAAATTATTTGACCACAATTAAGTGCCCGGCATCGTGGTAGTAGCTGTGCTAAAGCAAAGATGTTTTCGTGATGTAGAATAGTATCCATCGCTACAACACCGTATCTGGTGTAGTTTCGACCACGACTGTACTTCGGTACTGATCAACCGGACACGAACGTGGTTCCGAACGGCTTTTGTGCGGTGAACCCTATCTGCTATTATCAAGTGGCGGGGTGACCCCCCCGGTTTTTCATTAACTTGTCTCCTTAATAACAAACGACCGAATATACTGTAGGTCCGATAGAAGGCTTCAAAAACGATGCACCAGCTAGCTGAAGTCTACGAATGTGGCACTGTAAAGCATATCATCCTGGCCTGAAAATGTTTGCAGTTTTTCATAAACTAAATAAGTACGGTCCCAACTAATAGAAAAAAGTTGGAGTCCATTAATCGGTAATAACCTACTGAAAATTCAGTTCTCGAAATAATGTAGCAGGACAATTATTTATTGTTTTAGGTCTGATACCGTGACTCTACGTCATTGTTCCGAAAGACCGGTAACGAGTGCATATCATCATGTTATCTGAGGCTCTAAGAGCTAGATTTTTTATGGAGCAGATTTGTAGCAAATCTTTTGAACTAATTGGTCAGAAAATGAAACGAGACAATGCATAAGCACTCTAAAGGCGGAAGGGCAAATTTCGAACGAACCATCTCCGCAAACTTTAAAGACTTGACGGACGACAGACGCAAGCTTACGTGTTCGGAGCATGGCGACCCAGTGCTCGGATCAAACAGATGGCCGAGGACAGAACTTGTGGTTCACTGGACCATTTATTCAGAGCGAACCATGCGCAACTAAGCAGACCTTGGATACAGACACGGCTAACGTCAGGTGTAGCGCTTGCGTTATTTTCTCTGTTCCCATCAGTCAGGTGCATTTCTGATGTGGTTTGACCAAAATGTGCAGCTTTAGGGGTGGTCATTGTAGTTTGGAGTATTGTAAGTATGGGGAACGTGTTCTTGTTCTCCTGAAATCAAAAATACGTTGAAATATGTAGGAAAAATGACAAGAGTTGTATGTATGCCATGAGGCGTAGCATGTCAGAAACCTGGGGCCAACCAAAATCTAGTCATCTGATGAATTTCGAAAGAAGGCTCATGGGCGGTAAGGATGTTGAGCAGGTGTCCGGTGATATAGTACCGTTTAGTTGACTCACCATCTCCATAAAGTAGATCAGTTGCAGATTTTCCAGAATGACTGGAACCGTGTATCGACCATTTATCGTTACACTCGAGTGATTGGTATCTTATCGAAGGAACTCCCCATCTTTCTGATAGGTCCTTCTTAACAAGTGTGAAATTTCCCGTCCGTCTGTGTGCAAGTACGAATCTACAATTTTAAAATCCTGAAAAATGCCCACAAACTAGGTGTCCCTCGAGAAATAAGATAAAACGTCAAGCCTGTTTCTGTCTTGTTAAAACATACAAGTCTGCAGTGGCTATACGCGATTCGGTGAGACAACTCCGTCACCATTAGTTTCAAAATACTTTCAGGGTTTCGTTACTCCGCGGGTGAATATACCACAACTTCACATTAGACGTTGTCAAGTCAAGCTGAACCAGATTATGTTGGGCGTTAGATAAACCAGCACATCCCACCTATGTAATATAGTTTCAATTAGATTACGAAACAAGATTCATGCTCATACGCGCAAAGAACAGCATAGCAAGTTTCCTGAGCTAACTGCCACCATTTCCCCGGAGTCTTGTGGTGTCAAAGTGGACAGGAACTTGTTCGACCTTCCAACGGACCTAAATCCAGACGGGCCACTCTCTGATGAATACTGCCCGCGCTACGTCTGCCTGGCTGATGAGCAGCATGACGATGATGGAAAAATAATCCGGGAACCTGCAGGCGCTCGTGAAATGACAGATTTTTCAACAAGACAACCAAAGGCCATCAAACAGCGTATGATGGAATACGGTACCACAGCATGAAGGATCCGCTTCAACGTTTTTCCAGCTAGCTGAGACCCGTCACTGCTGTAACATCATGAAACTCATCATCAGTAGAGACGGGAGCACTAGCATCAATGCCGTTTCCCCGCTGTCTCGCGGTCACTGTAATTTTGACGAGCGCAATAATAATAGGTAGAGTAACCGCGAAAATAAAATAGCTCGGGATCAGAGTCTAATGAAGCAACCCTGGATGATCACAAACACTCAATGAGACAAACAACAAGGAAGACAGTGAAATGTTCATTTTGAGTTGCCCGCCTTTAAAGATTGTTCTCAGGCGAGAACAGTTTCTCGGTCTCCCGCAATTACTCAGTTGAAACAGCTCGGAAACCCCGCGTAAAAACAAGCCTCAAAATATCCCTGAGCTGAGGCCTCACCTTAACGTGGTGGTCGGGTATCTTGGTTACAATGGTCCTGCGGGCTATACTGGCTGGAACTCAGTTCCCTAAGGTTCAACCACGCAAGGAAACCCAACGGAGAGAACCCCACGAAGAACAGCAAGTAATCGTATTACGAGATGGTCTGGGGGTAAAGTCGTACTGTCCATTGCGATAAGAGTGTGAAGGCAGTAAGGCGTTTCCCTTCGGCGACTAGGATGTCCATATGTGTGGAAGCACCGACGCCACCTTCCCCCGAGGAAGAACGGGTTAGAAACGTTGGCCCGACAAACGGCTGACCTTGACCACCGGCACACGATTCAATACGGTCGAAATACTTTTAAAACCAAAGGGTCCGATGCTGGGCAAAAGGCACCTGCTGTGCGCAGATGCATTGGAAGTGAGAGTAATGCCTTAACATACTGCGCCACCGGGGCCAGGCCGACTCTCCACAGCCGAGTGGGTCAAACTAATGAGTCATTGGTCCCGGGAAGGGCCCTCTAAGAAAACCCTAACAACCACTTTCTCGCGATTCAGACTTTTGACTCACAGGCTGAGGGCAGGGTCCCCGGTCTTCTCCCAAAACCCCTCCCCACCAGTCGATACAGTGCCACCAACCCATTTGCCAGTCCCCTAGCTACTGTTCCGTGTCCAAACCTTCGCCTAGAAAAATAAACCAAAATAATTAATTACTACCTCTAAAGATCTGATCCACGGATAATCAGGAGCTTGAAGAATGACAAAGAACGCTGGTGGATTTCGAAGGCCCAGGAGACGGAGAAGGTTTTCGCTGCAGGCAACAGCCGCGCCCTGTTTTAACTGATTCGATCAACCGGCCAACAGAAAATAGATGTCGGTGAGAAAATTATGCGAAAAAGACGGAACGGCTATACACTCCCTCGATCGTCGATAGCAACCAGTCGTCAGCAACCGAAATCCAGCGTGATATATCAATCCTGAAGTGCGCTAAGCACCCGGCCAGGATAAACTGCGCCCCGCATTCTTTAAAGAAGGTATCGAGGTCCTGACAACCATGCTGCAGAAGATTTGCAACGATTAGAGAATACCAAGCGAATAAAGCTTCTCGATTGTCTTTCCAGACTTAAAAAATGAAGCATGAACGTCCTTTGAAAACCATTGTGGTATCACCCTGGTATCCGTCGGGTCTAAAGTGCTCTTAGAGTTCGAGAGATACACTCATTTGCAAATCAATTTGGTTTTCACGAGAGACTCAACTGAGTAATCCTCAAGACGAGATCATCAGTCGTTCGTTAGCTACATTAATGGGAAAAGTAAATTACACTTTCGAATTCATAAAGAACCAAAAAAATTGAGAGACGACCAAGAGAAAGTATTAAATGGAATGTACTGAGCCGGAATATCAATGACCCAAACGTTAAATACCCCAAACCCATCGGTCGTAAGACTTGAGCGCCCACACTAAAAAACAAGAACTTCCAAATAACGTTCAAAAGTGATTTGGTGTGCCAGCAAAAAGAAACCTTGCTGACCGATTCTCTATCAGCATTAAATCTTCTTCAACCTGGTATCCAACTCGGCCTGAAGTAACTCTTGTGCCAAAAAGCAAGAGGTTCATCGATTGTTTACCGAACCTTTCTGCAAGTTACCCTAACGTTTACATGACAGCAACAGGACTCGACCTCAATGGTTCTCGGAGAGAAGCATAGAGTCCTGAGGAGGAAAAAATAAACATTTTCTGTCCCGTTTGTTTGATTTTACGACTTTGTACATACTTCTTGAAAAACGTGGTCCATGTGGGGATGTTACATTGTGTGCTCGTTGGTGGAACAATATAACCACTTAATAGGTCAGTGGGAATGAAAATGTGTGTACTCGGTTTTGCTAAAGTGGATAGATGAACCCTCAAAGACATGAATGTAAATTTGAGCAGAACAAATTCCCGATTGCAGACGAATACACCTCCCTCCCCCATCGTAAGAATTATTCCCTGGTGAGGACCACTTTTGGTTTCTCCAAAGGTGAACTTTATGGAAGACGTAATTAAACTGCAAACGATCCCGTGAATACCGTCGCGTCATCATTACTCAGGGTTTTCGCAATCGTCCTCACAGCCTCCATGAATGTCACACGATGGACTACCCACTGCCTATTGATCAAGCCGCAATTATTAAGTGATTCGACGCGGATTACTGTAAACAGGAAGCGTGACTGAACAACTCCATACACAAACGACCGGAAAGTGACAAAGCATATGTCTATGCGAAAAAGGATTAGGTCCCCATGATAAATAGGTGTTCACAGGAAATGCGAAGAACGTACTGTAAGGGCTTCCGGATCAACCGGATTCTGACATATGTAAGCGACGACGAAGCGCGTCATCAGCCAAAGATTGTCCTGGATTAACAAGGCGCTCCCGATACCTAGATTTGTCTGCAGCCAGAGCAGCCGGTATAGAGAAGCCAATAGCCTGTAAAAAAAAGACAAGGTACGTCATCCAAAGATCGTAAGACAGATAGAAGGGAAAGGTGGTATAAGCATGCAGAAAGAGTATAACTGGCTCCAACAGAGATATCAACATCAGTATTGACGATGCTTCACTATAAATTTTATCTAAAGCTTCAGAGTGAAAAGAAGAGAAAAAGAGTGAAGGAGGGTACCTAGTGCAGGCCTACATCAAGCAATGTGAAGTGCCTAGACCTCCAAACTCTCAGTAAGACAATCTGGAAAGAAATTGATAGCGATCACTCGCCATTTCTTGTAATGTCTCCAGACGAACGCAGACGGGGACACGGGGACCCCATCCTGGAAGGCGTACAACACCAGTAACACCCAAACTCTTCGTGATCTCTTTCAAACCCCTCTTCCAGGTCATACGTTGTTCAGCTCACTGTTTGCGCCATGCTGAAGCAGGCACGCAGAACAACGCCCATCTCGGTAGACGGTGTTTTGGAATGCATTGCACATGGGCGAGCCATCGCAGTCGACTGTGCTGGATGTTTTCCGTGATTGATGTACCTGCCGCACAAAAATAATCCTTTTATAATCAACTCGTTCCAAATCCGTTGACGCCAACCGACAGAAGCAACGTTTCTGAGGCACCTGTTATCAAAAAGCTGAAGACGCCTCACATCATCTGTCCAAAGCGGCCATGTCTCGCACCCATACAACAACACAGCCCCTACTGTAGCCTTGTACACACGAAACTTTAGACCCGGTGATATGACTTTTTAACGCCACAATAGATTCGGGTCTTTGATTTCCTGCACTGGCTTCATCAGACACATTTCCGTAAGGGTTAATAAAATCACCGAGGTATGTGAAATTATCAACAACCTTCAGTTTAATTGTAAGGGGAATCGTTCAGAGGACTTAAGTTCTGAAGCATGATTTCACACTTTGAATGTGCCAAAAGATGGTATGATGGTATGGTCTACTCAGCAGAGTTTGTGTCTCGCCTTCATCTTCAAAGATAAGGATGATGTCAGAAACCAGTTTTTGTAGGAAGCTTTTAGAGAGCTCATCAAGTACTATTATAAGCCCAGAAATATGTTAATATAAAGATCCAATTATGTTCACGAACTTTTGAGGCATATCGCGTCGAGTAAGTGAAGCTAACAACTATGACCGATCGACAGAATCGAACGCACCCTTGAAGTCAAGGAACACCAAGATTGTGGGTCGTCTGTACATATAACGTTGCTCTAACACCTGACGGAGTGTGAAGTTATGGTCAACACAGACACTACCTGGTCGAAATCTCGCTTGATTCTCACAAGCCAAGGCTTCACTTGCCACGGCAAGACGACGACGAATCGGTGAGGACAGAGAAGCTTTGTCACAACAGGAGTCAAACTAGCACTACTATATTCACTGCGAGTAGCCTTTTTGTACCCCCTACTATGAACTCATCCCAGTTGTCTGAGACATTCTCTCTAGAAACACCCAAATAGTCTGGACATGCATTGGCTGAGAAACCCACCGCCAACCTTGAACAGAGTAGGTGGAAGGTGTTTAGAGCCAGCACCAACATGACACTTCTGAGAATGAAGATGACTCCATATTCATAGTCAACCTGTCTGTTGAAGGCCAGGATTCCGGATCGGAGGTAGCAGGTGACCAAATGAATCGCTGTTCGAAGTACTCTGCCCGGCGGTCAAGACGTTCTGTCTCTATGGATATCAGAGAGCCATTTTGGTCCCTGATAATTTTGCTCGTAAGAGGCTTCCGAGGACCAGTCAAGGGAATCAAGTTGCGGAAGTTTCCCGCATTTTTCACTTTCCATTTCTTCGGCCTTCAGGACCCAACAAACTTCTCGGTCGGCATGGACACTAAGTTTCACCTGGCATCAGATGACGCATCGGGTGGAGTTGTGGTTGCGTCCAAGGGAAATCTGACGCCAGGCCTCCAGCAAAAACATGGTCCTATCAGAGATCCATTGTTTGGATAAGTTTGGCTGGGTTATACTGCAAACGGAAGTTCCAGGTTTGAGTAGCGCTTTGAATGTATTTTCACAGTGACTGTTTATATCCAACATCGGACCGTCCGACAGGTGCTCGATGAGCTGGTTCTGAGAGTTTCCTTTGATTTCTGGGTCCACTAGCTTCGCAGCGAGTAACGGAGTAGCTGCGTGAACCCGAAAAAACGCAGCAGCGTATAAGTGCATTGTCGGAGTCCACGCTGGTGTTACGAGCGGCAGACGGTGATCGACCCTCGCCACCGATAACTGACGCCGATGTGGTCTATTTGGATTCGGAGCTGGTTTGTTGGTGAGCACCATATTGTTAAGCAATCTTCACTGTTTCGAACACTAGTACTGCAGAGGAACAGTCTGTGATCGGCACACATTGGCGGCAAGCGATCTTTGTTGTCATATACAATCCAAGACGATCACCTAATAGGGTCTCAGCGGCTTTCAGACTACCTACCTGCCTTTAGCAGATTCATAGCTAATCAGTTGGGGTGTAAGCAGACACAACAAGCAGGTTGTGATGGATCTCACTTTCTCGAGACTCTCACACACACACTGCCAAACAAACCGCGTAGAGGCGACTGCCAAAGGGTGTCCAATCGGGTGGAAACACTTCCACTCGTTCGCCCAGTACCATACCCACTCCGGCATATCCAACTACAGCGGCATCCGCATCGCCGGAGGTGAGGTCACAACAAAGAAACAGAACTGTCGAACTGAAGGCACTCAATGAACCAACCACATACAAGGGAGTTAGATCACGACGCAACTCAGATTCCCAGGTGACCAATCAAGTTACGCGAAGACCACCTCGGGACCAACAATCACTTCAGTTATTTGATACTGTTTAGGAACCATATAAGCACAGGCAAAAGGGGAGGAATTTACCCACTAAGTCACCCACTGACCATATCTCCTCGCCTGGTGATGAAACGTTCGCTATCCAAATGCCAAGCTCAGCAACACACCAGAGCTGCCTATACTCAGCAACATTAGGCTTTCAACGGCTGTCTGGATGCTCAAAACTAGAGGTCCAGTGCGTTTATGAACCAGCATTTTGTGCACCAGAAATTAAAATACAAGAGCATTACAAGCCAACGGGTAACTGTTTCGAGTGACCAGAGAATGTGGGATTTAGTATAATGGGACCAAACCACACAACGCTGTTTTACCCACCGGGCAGTCAAAGGCATCGACAGATACTTCACGCAGATCATCCGCTAAGACAGAAATGAGAGATCGACGGCAAAACTCTGCAAAAGAACTAATTCTCAAAGATCATTCCAACAAATCAGATCAAAATCTCAGGGTTACCATAAAATGTATCGATGATTCTCAAAGCAGTGGCCGATTACTTCAGCTTGGCAAAACAAACTAATGAAGGGTGACGTCAATAAATCATTCGTCTGGGATCAATTCGGTATATTGTGCCCCTTTATTTATATCAAAAATGTTTTCGAAACAAGTAATCAGACAACCCATGGGGAGCCAATTACAAGCAGTCCAAACTCTAACCCGTGCTGACCGACAACAGAATGCAGCCAAAGAAAATTCGCAATCGAATTATGCAGCAAACGACGCCAAGTAGAAGTTCCGGAATCTGCTTGGCTTACAAAATTCGACAGTAAATCGATGAACCCAACTACGGGATTTAAACGACTACGTGGTCACCCATAGGAAGCACTGTTTCATGGCATTCCGTTCTTCAAGAGAATCGATGGACATCGGAAAAGACTCCATGAATATTTCTAAGTCTTGGAACCAAAGAATTGAAGATTGCAGGCAAGTATTGGAAACCGGCAAGGAGAAACATCATATGAAAGATCGATGGAAAATCACCACAACGGGTGTTTTCAAGAAGAGCTCACCGAATCAGTACGGGAATGCGATCCATTGATATGGTACTGGGAGGCCAGTGTTCCGAATTCGGTACTTCACTGGCCGACGCACAAAGAAGGCGACAGCTCATCTGTATGTCGACTGCATCATCTTTGTTGACACGTAAGAGAGGATATGGAACCTGCGAATAACAAAGCAGTCCTCAGAAATAAAAGAGTGAGCACTCATGTGTGTGGGTGATAGCAACTAAGCGTCGCTTCAGCAGAAAGCAACCATACGATTCTGAAGGAATGTGTATGTTCTAAGGCAAGTAAATTCAAGAATTCCATAAGCTAGGAGTTTTATTGCTGAACTGAATGATAAATCTTCATAAAGTGTGATGTCAGTGGAAAGATTAAGTGCATGAAAGAAAGCGATGGGGCAAGTGCATTCATTTGGAAAGCCGTGATTTTTGAGGAAAACAACTGAGTAGTTGTTGTTATACGATGAGTTTAACCATATGTGTTAACTAGAAAGTTACAGACGAAAACTAACAGTAACGAGTTTTAACAACCCTCCACTCATAGGAAATTAAATTTAAGAAATACTGATGTTGGTTCAATGGACATGTATTACTTTGATCGTCGGCGATAGTCTGCTGACGAACACTTACTAAACAAAGTCCTCAGTGTTGGTAATGTGAGGAAACAAGAGAGTCTTAATGGAGATTTCTTCACGTAAGTGAAGCCAAATCCGAGAAACCCTGGTTGCACCCGTTTAATCCTTATTGGGAACCACCAGCAGTGTGCACCTCACGGAATTCCATGGGGTCTCGAACCCAAGACCTTACGGTTAATAGTCTGAACATTTAACATTTTGTGGTCAAACGGAATAGCATCGAGATCTCTATTTCTGATTAATGCCAGACGACAAGCCAGCAGGCGGCGAATAGTACAGCGTAACCAAATCCTTCAAACGATAAACAGTGGACGGTGTAAGGAAAAACCGAGGGTTCCGGTGGATGATGAAAGTTCAGATGAAGAATTTTCTCATAGGAAACAACCGCGCCATATGCCACCTAATTCGAGCCCCTGGTTAAACAAAGGCAGCATCCAGTAAGGTGGTAAGTGAAAACGATGGTTCAGTAGTTCAATCACAAAAAAACTATCGTAAAGATGGGAGAATAACTGGGAAAGAAAGTTTATCTAGCTTCCTGCAACTTGTCCCTCGGTAGAAGTGCATACGGTACAGATGCAAACCCTAATTGCCCGTAGGAAGAAATAAGGTACGATATATGTACTATATAGTACCACGAGGGATTGGACGATCTGAAGACGGCCCTCTTCAAAAAGGGCGCAGAGTAGCTGCTTAGCAACCTGAGAAAGCTTATAGATGCTGTCTACAATAAAGAAGGTCTGCAGAATAGAGCCCGTCAACACGCATCCTCAACATTGCGTGAAAACTGTCGTGGCACTAATCCGGTAGCTGTGGTACTGGAGGTGTTATTCCTCGAAGGTTGACTGAACACACCAGCAGATCCAACATGCTGCATCCCATCATACAAGAAAATGCATAGGTCATAAATTCACTCCTCAACACAGCCTGAAGCAGACACTGCTTCCAAAAACCCGCAATGACAGACTTTCTTGACTTGAAAGCTGAATCTGACTCTGTCGAACAACCAGCACTATGGCAATGGCTGTGAGGCAAATCTGTTCCCCATATATTCTTGGTCCTCGTTATGGCATCGTATGCCAACTCCCGTGAACATGTAAAGGCCTGTGGTTCATGCGATTCACTATATCCAGTAGCGCCATGCAAGGCTGTTCTCTTTCACTTTTGTTTTTAAACTTCATCACTAATATACATGATGAAGACTCACTCCCAGCCTCTGGTGCCTGTGGGACGGAAAACCTCTCAAAGCGTTTGCTCACAGATATCACAGGCGATATCAAATAATCCAAATATTACTGATTCACGTTTTGGTGTTTGCTTCACACCTGAGGATCATAAAGTCGCTGCAACGCTAGGTAGGCTAGAACCCGAACCTCATGTTGAGGATGAGCCGATTGAGGAAGCAGACAAATTTGTCTACATGGGAAGTATCAGTCCCGGCAGTATGGCCAAAGAGGATATTTTCATCCGGATTGGGAAAGCTGCATCAACTTTTGTCAATCTGCATCATATGTGATGCATACGTGACATCAACTTGTTCGAAGGGTCCAGTTTACAATGCTGCAGTGCGCTCCATACTATTATAAGGGTCAGAAACCTCGCCGCTGTGCGCTGAGGACGTCAAAAACTTCGAATGTTTGCCCATCGATGCCTTAAAGTAATGCCTAAGACTGGTGGGAACAACAAATTAGTAATACTGAAGTATTTCGAAGTTTTAACAGGAAACGACTCGTCTACAACAAAAGCCACTCGTCAACTTCATAGGTTTTTCCGGTCTGGTCACGTGTCCCGTATGTCAAACGACCGACTTTTTCGGAAAGCTATTTTCGAAAAACCACTCAGGGAGTTGCGACGAGCCAGAAGAGACGGAGCAATGACTTGGCAGCAAAGTATGGAGGGCAGTAGCAGCAAACTTAGCTGCGCTTGTCATTACGCACAAGCCTCCGTCCCGACCTCATCAATGAAAAGTTTGCTGTTATCTATGGAGTCAGGCCTCAATGATATCAGTTACTATCTCCAATAAGCACCTATCTATTCCCTTTTACCCAGACCGGAGACGAACGAAACTGTGGCAGCTATAACCACCATATAACACGTACACGGTTTACAGCAGTCACTGCTGCTAATGGTGACTGGTACCTACCTACCACACGGTCGAGTTGGGTCCAAGGCTGATTTGCCATTGATTGTCCCAAGGAAACATGGTGCAGGCTAGAAATAAATGATGTTCGGCACATACCTGAGGAAGTCACTCTCCCTTAGCAGTGTAGTAAGCACCAACTCCGGAACAACCACTAATATGAGCAACTTCCGGACCTAGCTCGCCAACCTGGACATTCTTATCAGAAATTAGGATAACAGTATCCGTGCTTTCTGTCTCGAACGCCAATTGCCCATAATCAATAAAGCCAAAAAATCGAGCACAGAAATAGCATCTGAAATGGCGATGGATGGACCTAAGTTGCCCTAGTATGCATAACGGAATGTATAGAAAAAAGGTGCGTTGGCTCATGACCAATAGAAAAATATTCACACCCACAGTGAATGCCTAGGAATGAGTACTTCTTTCGATGGAATGCTGTAGTTTTGAACAAGTCTATATGTTTTCGACAAACACGTTCATTCGCATATCAATCTGGTTTTAACGGTAGACTCAACTGGAACCCAGCTGAATCTCACGTTTATGGTGTTTTTAGCAACTGAATGTGTTGTACCAGGCCGCCTTATGTTTCAGTTGGTACGACATTCGAAATACTGCGATAAGTTGTACAGGCGCAATACACTACTCATAAGGTTCCTAAATGACAGTTGTTCAATTGGCTAGATAATTTGAGAACAAGACTTCACTGTAACACCTAATCCGTAATATCGTAAGAGCCTGAGAGGACTTGAAGTTACGAATGAACGGTATTTATGTTTCTGTATTGGTTAATAACTTACGTGGAAGAGGCCTCATCGTCCCACAGTGGATAATTAGAAATGGGGAGACAGGTGAAAATGGATTCGCTATACATATTCGAATGATGAGTGATAAAAATGCGGAAGCTTACCGAAAACTCCGTATCCCAAGTGGTACCGGAACGTTGGATGCTAGCTAGCGACGCAGGCCCACTGACGATAAAATGCCCAGTGACTAGCAAAATCCAGTGCAAGTCCTCGTACAGATCGTCCACTGGTTGACGTAGCACCTGGGTATGCGACCGTATAAGTTGTTCTGTTCGGTCATCCAAAAGCTGTAGAAGCAACTTGGTCGAGTCTTCAGGGGCAGCCAAACCACAGGCACCACAAGCAAATAAACTATCCTGGATGAAAAGTGACGGATAAAAAAGCGGTGTTTGGTCACCTTAAGCCCAGATACTGGAATGAAGGATATTCCAACCGAAGACCACGCGGTCTTGGGAAGTCACTAACATAGAAAAACGGTGGAACGCATGTGGAGTAGGTGACCTACAGGCATCGCACTTGATAAGGATAATCCACATATTAATAGCAAACCTGGAATTTCAGGTTCTGGTGTTTGGATAAGGGCATATCGATCCGTTTTGCTCTAATGATTGGCCGCCTGAATTGGTCTATACTGATAAATTAGCTGAAAGCAAGGATTGACCGTGGATACAAAGACTATCAATGGAACAAATGCTTATTTGCTGATTTTTTTCGGAACAAGAAGATAGCCGTCCTCGATCGCAACTCATCAGTCAAGTAAAAGGATAAAATGGAAGTTTGGAGATATTATACGGTGTTTCTCTTAGTGTAAAAACACGGATACCATCTATGCAATGATAGAGAAGTATGACTGGTGAGTAACGTGTTTCTTTTGGCAGCAAACAGGCTTGGAATAGCTAAGTAGTTAAGGGGAGAACTTACTGATCAGGTGTGTAGTTCGAACCTAGCCTTGGTATCTAGACTGTCCCCCTCTGGGCTCGAGCAACTTGGCAGTACCTCAACCGCCGTACTTCCTTCGGATGACATGGTAACCACGTGCCGAAAGGGTGTTACGGCTAAACGATTGTCGTTGTTGTATTTGGGGTCACCTTTCCGAATGCTCTTTCAGTATTCTTTGGTGAGTAGACTCTGATCGACTCTTCGGTATCCAGTAGATTGCTCTAGGTGGTTCGGTCGGATAGACCCGGTAGTCTGTATGGATCAGGTGACTGACGTTAGCGCTTGCCACGTGTTTGGCTGCCATATTTCGTCATTAGATAGATTACCGGAAAGTCGTCGAGTCATTTGACCTACACCGAAGCATTCCAACCCAAGGTGATCTTTCGAAGCGAACTATGGACGAATAATTATTCTTCGACATTTCGTTTTCCACTATTTCACCATTGTTAAAAGTACTCTTCCTTTTTATAATCCACTACATATGAATTTCAAATAAAAAAGGTTTCAACACCAAGCCGGGATTAAAGTTCGGATTTGAAATTTCAAGGACATGAGAGCTACAGCTTCCGGTAGATCTGCGCCGTGAACTTTCTTGCGTTGTTTGGCACTATTCGGTGTCTGTCGTACACGTGGCGAAGGATCACTCGTTCTCGAATCACCTGTCTCATTCCTTCTCACTTGTGTTAATTGATGGTGTCGATGATTTTTTGCGGACTTTTCGTCCCAGTCTACTTGTATGTAGTACGGTGACCTCGTCCGAATTTGGAGGACCTAATTTAAATTCATACAGATAGTCCCAGTCGAACATGATGTCATCATAGCTCTTATCGCGCGTTGTGCGTAAACAATGGATGAACATGACGACGGGTTTTAGGAAGTGTACGAATACCCCGTTGAACGCACGGCTACAATAAGCAAAACTTATTAGCAAACATGGTCCATGGGTTATGGGTATGTATGCAACCCTTCCTTCAACAAGCTGTAAAGTCACCTACTCAATCATACATCGGTGTTGATTCCGCCTGCGAATCAACGTGCAAGTTCGCTGGATTACACCTATTCACGAGCGTCCACTCCGACGGAAAAGCGCGCCGACCGGGTATCGGACCCAGAGTCTGCGGACAGGCAGCGAACGCGTCACCGACTACACCAACCGGACGTCCAGTATAGCTGTTTATTTCGTATTACCTATGTATCGCACCTGGCAGATAGCCCTTGCTGAGCTTTGTTTTAAACGGACGAAACCGCGCAATCTGACCTAGCACGCGACACGAGCGGCTGCGTCGACGCCGACCGAAAGACAGTCCTTCAAATCCCGAACGTACTGACTCCTGCGCCGTTACGGCCAACTCATACTGTCAGACTGCCCCGATATGTATGTTTGCACATCGTTTGGTACTTACTTCTTGTTGCCCCTACAGAAACCCGTGCTGTAACAGTGACTGCTTCCCGCTCCTACAGATTGCGTCACTGTTGATTGTACGTTTTCTTAATTCATGATGCTTACTAATTCGTTTTTCTGTAGAACCAGTTCCTGTCAGTCTTCAATATATCATCTACTGCCCCACGTCTGTCTGCTCCTATTGACTACTGGCTACGAACTGCGTATAATCTAATAGTCGCAACCGTCCTGTGAGATCCTTAACCGTCCGGATCTTACAAAGTTAATCAACAATTACCGCAGTTAATCAGTAACGCAACTCAACCGACGTTTCGCCATGTCTGACGAACATTCCACCGACCTTCCTCCACTCGATTACTTCCCGCCGTCGCCCAAGCGAGAGCTCCCTATAGATCTGAAAGACAGAGCTGCAGGGCTTGAAGTGGAGATGGCCAAAGTCCGTCGCGAAATGGCTAACCTTCAGTGTTCTGCTACCGCTACAGACAGAAAAC